GACCCTGCTGCCTTTGGCATCACGAAAATTTTGACCAAATCTCAGTTTGCTGATCTGTCTGTCTGCCTCATTTACACACAATTGGAAGGTCTCAATTGTCTCTCTTACCAGTCTCGAACACACCCATACAACTCCCACACACAAGCTCGTTGCAGTTTCGAATACTCAATCATACAGTCCCCATGTAAACTCCCTTGAAATGAAATAACTCTCTAACTCATTCAACACCCATGACACTCTGAAAATATGCTTCGATTCCTTAAATTGAATGAAACGGAAAGAAGCCCCATACCAGGCAACATTGCAATTTACCTTACGCAGATAGTCAATATAATCAATAAAAGATGACAATTGCTATCCTGACACTTCCACGTGTCAGGCCTACACACACACACACACACACTCACACAAATATATATATATATATATATATATATATATATATATATATATATATATATATATATATATATATATATATATATATGCAAGTAAATCACTGTAGGTGCACATGATCTAGGTATATGCTGATAACCACAAGGAAAGAATAGAACTGATCCCAAGCCCACCCATGACCGTAAGAATATCTTAATATTACCATTTCACAAAAATTTCTCACACATTCTTTTACAACTAAAAACCTGGAACGTCAATGTGGCATTTAAAAACTCATGCACTGTTAAACAAATGTTAATCAAGAACTCCCCCAACAACACAATTGGTTGCATTTATAAAGTTTCTTGCAAGGAATGTAATATGTTTTACTTAGGCCAGACAGGTAAAGATCTTGTAACTAGACTTAAACAACATAAATATAGTGTTAGGACAGGCCAGGAATCCAATGCTCTGTTTGTTCATTTGAGGGATAACAAGCATTGCATTGACTGGGATAATGCCTCCTCAATATTACCTTGTAATTCAATTGATTGTAGGAACATCATAGAATCTAGTCTCATTAAACATACCGAAGCATTCAACATGAATTTGAGTAATGGCACGTACAAACTGGACAATTTTGTAATTAAGAAGATTTGTAACCAGGTGAGAAGGTTGGGTCACCTTACCCTCTGACCTGACTACCGACTGTTGCGGTGCTATTTAAAGATTAGTAAGGTCATTACCTAATACCTGACCATTGTGGACCTGGTCTCACCCTCCTTTGTATATATACACCTTGTTTTGTACTTCTCTTTAGTCTGTACTCACCCCAGAAGATGTGAATTACACGAAAGCGCTTGGGAACTTCGTGTTTTCTTCTTTCCTTGTGGTTATCAGCATATATAGATCAGCATATATATATATATATATATATATATATATATATATATATATATATATATATATATATATATATATATATATATATATATATATATATATATATATATATATATATATATATATATATATATATATATATATATATATATATATATGTAACCGGTCGGAATTTACTGGACTTTAATTTCTCACTTGACTTGGGGTTTATTAAAAATTAATAGATGGTAATGGCAGTGGAAGCGCCCCTTTGAGAAAAATCCCGAACCAGCACAAGAACACTTTAATCTACTAAACAAAATGAATTGTCCGTGACCCGTGGAAGGATAGCGTCTGTGACTGGGATGAATGAGACACACTGTAAAATTTAGACACTTATATTCCCTCCAACACTACAAACACAATCAAATAATGGTACACCAATATGCGCACCTCTTAACTTAAACTTAAAACACTACTCTGGGGAATAAAAGTTATACATGATATAGAAATTATTAGAAACACAGGCAACAATGACTTTGAAGTATTAAGAAATGTTGCTTGCACACATGAAACAGGCCTTAAGGGCTTTCACAAAATAATATCAGTCACTGAGGAAATGGTAATAAAAAATAAGAAATTAAATACTCTACAATGAATAGGCCTTAAGGGCACTCAACAAAATTATAGCACCCCAACAGATGCACACTTCCTAACCTAACTTAACCACTACTCTGGGGAACAAGGTTATACTTGAGATCAGAATTATGAAGAACAATTAGATGCATTAAAAGAATCAAATCACAGTATCACTCTGGTTCCACTTAATGGCACAAACATTCAAAAACAATACTATCAAAATTATTTAGGAACTATTAAACTACACACGTCAAGATAATATCAGTCTGAGGAATGGTGTTAACTACACTCGTAATAAGGGAGGGAAGATGTTCCTCTAGGTATCTCAAGAGACCTAGACTCACGGTCTCAGTGTGTGACCATTAGTTTACTCAGATAGCCTCAGTGTACTCCCAGTGCGTCCATGGGCAGGAAGAGAGAACGCCAGCAGGTGTCTATGGCCAGTAGGCAACACTTCTAGCTGACCGAGGACACGTGGTGTTGTGCACCCGAGTGGTAAGAACTGATCACCCACTGTTGATGCTGGTCCCGTGTCGTTTTAGTTGTCGGGAGCACGCGTTCACTCAAGAGATCCTTTGCTACCCCGCTAAACAGTGACAGGCCTACACTCATCGGTCCAATGGCGACAATCGCCACCCTCAATCATCAACGGCAGTCTCAAACGGCAGTCAACTCCGGTCAACTCCAGTCAACTCCAGTCAAGTGGGTTCTGACGGAAACCCTGAAATGAACTCACTGTTAGCTCTAGTTTACTTTACCACTGCCCTATCTAACCCTGTCTGAGATCGAATGAGACTTACTTGTTATACTGCAATAGCGCAGCACAGGTGACTAGGCCACGTGACTATTTCTGTGACGGACGCGCAGGGACGTCTTGTCTGCTTGACTCCTCCCCGCGACTGAGGGCCAGCCAGCGTCGCGTCCTCTCAAGGCGTTAGCCTATGCCTACGTGACATATTTTCCGCCTAACTAATAACTCCTTGGGACACCCGTAACATTATTCAGACTGATAAACGATCTATAATAATTTCAAATTCAATAATGGTCCCTTACTTCATGAATCGCATCATTATTAATTCGGTAAATTACATTTAATATCATATAGGCCTAGTTCCGCAATCTCTCGCTATGAGCAGGCAGCGCTCTTCTCCCTCCCGCGACCTTGAACGCTCAGTGTTGCCAATGGCGGGGCATTCGAAATTACTCTGAAATTTCTGAATATTACAATCGACCCCCCTAAAAAAAGACAGCACTGTCCTCATGTGCTGAGAAACCATACATACGACCCCCCTAAAAATTTGTTCTAAGGACTGCATCTCACCCCTTTAACGTGCTAAATGCAGCATTTGTCTTCTCTTCTCTCCTTTTCTCTCCCGCTAACATATATATATATATATATATATATATATATATATATATATATATATATATATATATATATATATATAAATATATATATATATATATATATATATATATATATATATATATATATATATATATATATATATATATATATAAATATATATATATATATATATATATATATATATATATATATATATATATATATATATATATATATATATATATATATATGCAAATCACCGTAGGTGCGCTGTGAAAGATTTAGGTAGCCCTAAGCGTTTCAGGCTTCAGGGTGAGTACAGACTGTACTCACCCTGAAGATGCGGAATTACACGAAAGCGCTTGGGGAATCCCTGTGTTTTCTTCTTTCCTTGTGGTTATATATATATATATATATATATATATATATATATATATATATATATATATATATATATATATATATATATATATATATATATATATATATTTCCAAGTAAATCCACAATGGAAACGTGGATAATATAAATCTTGATAAAATCACACGGGAAAATGGAAACAACGGAGTACCTTAGCTTTCGTCTTTATTCAAGATATATATATATATATATATATATATATATATATATATATATATATATATATATATATAAATATATATATATATATATATATATATATATATATATATATATATATATATATATATAGTATATATATATATATATATATGTGTGTGTGTGTGTGTAGCCTCACACGTGGAAGAGTGCCACATTGGGCGGGGGGGGGGGAAACTTAGCCACTTCAGCCGTCAACAGAGGAAGAAAATATGAAGTTTTTCGCTATATTGGAAGCATATAGTGTTGTCTAATGGTAGACCCTGCTGCTCTCTGGCATCACGAAAATTGTGACCAATTCCGAGGTTCCTCATCTGCCTTTATGTTTACCTCATTTACACACAATTGCAGGGTCTCAATTGTTTTTCTTACTTGACAACACAACATACATACATTATATCGTTTCTCACTATTGATTTTTTTTAGTTCCTTAAAGATCTTAAATATTATTACGTTATCGTTATTATTCTATTTTTATTATATATTTTTTTTACTATGAAATATTGTTATTTATTTTTATATATTTATTATAAATTCTGGTTACTATGAATAATTATTATTATTATTATTATTATTATTATTACTATTATTATTATTACGTTTTCGCCCCGTTGGCCCCGATGTGGGTCAGTGACCTGTGCCCGGGTGGGCTAAACCCTGTAAAAAAGAAAAGAAAAAAAACGGCCATCCTGACGGCCGTTTAATATTTCAATGTGATTCTGATCTTTTAAACTGTTAGTTTTGAATAATGTAGTATTACTGATACGTAATTTGTCTTAGTAAGTCTTATTGTGGGTAAAAATAAGTATATATTAAATGCGTCCTCCGAAGGCGTGAATTTGTTACCAGAGTTTAACAGTTAATTCATGTATAAAATTTCTATTAAACTTCTTACGTGCTCATGTTTGAGCTAAATATCTTTCACGTCAGAAACGGTCATTTCAACGATTATGAATCAACTCATTTCGAAATACATCATTACTTCAGGACGAAATTGGACAGATATGCAACAGCCAATCAGCTGTAACTCTTGAGGAGGGGGTGGGGCATCTCTTATCAGCTGGGAAAAAACGCACTATAGCATATGTCATAGTAAACAGACGATTGGCACTAACTAATCTTCTTCCATCTGTATTACAGTGGGTCACGGTGCCCTTCGCCATGACCCACGAGGCCGTGTCTTCCCTCAACCCCAACATCACAAACTGGCTCGGCTCCATAGACGCAGATAATCCCTCAGAATGGGGTCAGTGGATCGACTACGCTATCCTTCTCATCTGTGGAGGAATCCCCTGGCAGGTAGGTGCTTCTGATGGTCTTTAGGATGTGTTCATGTTGTGAATGTGATAGTGTTATGGATGTGGGATGTGGTGGTGCTGTGGATATGGTAGTGTTGTGAATGGGGTAGTGTTGTGAATGGGGTAGTGTTGTGAATGCTGTGGTAGTGATGGTGTTATGGATGTGGTGATGGTGTGGATGTGGTAGAGTTGCGAATGTTAACGAGTTGTGGATATGGTGATGTGGATGTAGTGGTGTCGTGGATTGATTTTTTATTTGAATTTGCCGCTTACAGCGGCTACTTTATTGTGCACCTTACACACATCCTGTGAGCGGTAGCGCAAAAGGATTACAGAGAAGAGTTTACAACGGGTCATAATAATTAACCCCCGTTGTCAGGATATTATGGCACTGAATGTTACACAGTACTTCAATTACATTATTTGTTTAGTTCTATACATAAAGGGTAACTTATTCACAAATGCGTGAGTACAGGCGTGTGAGGCAGTATGTCTGGTCTCACACTTTGTCGTGGATGTGGTGTTTCTGGTGGTGTTGTGGATTTTGGAGTGATGTGGATGTGGTGGTGTTTTCGATATGATCATGTTGTGGATGTGTTACAGTTGATGGTACTGTGGTTTCAGGATGTTGTGAATGTCAAAGTGTTGTGGTATTATGTGACATGGTGGCGATGTGCGAATAGGGGTGTTAATGTGTGTAAGGGTATGGTGATTGTGGGGATGCACTGAGAGTAGCGGTTGTGGATGATGTGATGGTGAACTGGATGTGAGGGTTATGTGGGGTTTGGTGTTGTGACTGTGGTGGTTTTGTGATGCTGCAGATAAGATGGGGTTGTGGGTGTAGTTGTGGTATGTTATATTATGAGTATATCGGTAATGTGGATTTGATAATAATAATAATAATAATAATAATAATAATAATAATAATAATAATAATAATAACAAACGGTTTATTGAAAAAGTTTTGCCGCCCGAGGGCTGAAAATATACAGTGGACATAAATGATTTATTTCATACATTGGTAGTTTAACAAAAGCCTTCATCAGAGAAAGGTAATGAACATACAGTGAACATACAGCTTGATGTTTACAGTGGAGGTCACGTAGATCTTGTGCGCTGAGGTACTGAACAGCAGACACGTAGTGAAGTAACCCTCTCAAAGATGGTGTTATGAGGGGCATCACGTGGTGTAGTAGTTCCCTCACAGGTGGTTATCAGGTGCTTGACGTGGTGTAGTAATTCCCTCACAGATGGTGTTATGAGGGGCCTGATGATGTAGTAGTTCCCTCACAGGTGGTTATCAGGTGCTTGACGTGGTGTAGTAATTCCCTCACAGATGGTGTTATGAGGGGCCTGATGATGTAGTAATTCCCTCACAGATGGCATTGGGGATGTGGAAGGCTGAGTATTGTAGAAGACGGTAGGTAGTCACTGTGCCGTAGGGTTCCAGGATAGGTGATCCTGTGGTCACTTCCCAGAGTGAACTGAACTCTCCTCGAACTCGAGCTGACAAAGAAGACTTTGAGGAGGTGATGCAACAACCAGGATATGGAGAAGGGAAACCCGGGAGTGGTAACTAAGACGAGTCATACTCGTGTTTCGTCCCTAGATGGCGTTGCTCGTGGTGCTGGGTAGGTAGATCAAGACAATAGATGGCGTGGTTCGTAGTGCTGGGTAGGTAGATCATGACAATTGGTGGCGGGGTTCGTAACACACCCCCCCTCCAAAGACCTCCGTAGCGCGGGCGCGAAGGAGGTGATCACCTGGTGCGTCTGGAGAGTAGCTGCTGCATTTCCACTGGAGCTCGGGATAAGGAGTCTGCAATCAGGTTGTCCACCCCCTTTATGTGCCGGACTTGTAGATTATAGGGATGGGTGAGGAGAGCCCAGCGGAGGATTCGCTGGTTGGAGGTCTTGTTGGTTTGGATGAACGTGAGTGGGTTATGGTCGGTGAAGACTAGGGTTGTTTGTGGGCAAGACTGGAGGTAACATTCAAACTTCTTTATTGCCAACACCAGAGCCAGGGCCTCCTTCTCTATGGTCGAGTAGTTGGTCTGATGTTTTTTCAACTTGGCGGAGTAGTATGCCACAGGGTGAAGGACATCAGTGGTTGGGTCGGGTTGTAGGAGCACAGCCCCCACTCCGACACCACTAGCGTCGATTTGCAGATGGAAGGGCAAGGTGTAGTCAGGGGGGTGGACTACAGGCTTGGAGGCAAGGAAGGCTTTGAGGCGGTGGAAAGACTGGTCGCACCTCTGGTTCCAGATGTAAGGGACCGCAGAACTGGTAAGGTCTGTGAGGGGTCCGGCCACGCTGGAGAAGTTACTGCAGAACCGACGGTAGTAGCCGCACATCCCCAGGAAGCGCATGAGTTCCTTCCTCGTCCTTGGAGTGGGGAAGGACAAGATGGCTTTAACGTTTGCGTCCTTGGGTCTCACCATACCATGCCCAACGATATGTCCCAGGTAAGTCACTGAGGCCCGGCCAAAAGCAGATTTAGCCAGGTTTATGGTGAATCCAGTCTCTTGCAGTCGTGCGAACAGTATCTCCAAACGCACCAGATGTTCGTCCCAGCCGTCCGACACCACCACCAGGTCATCCAGGTAGGCGAACGTCCCACCTAGGTCCTGAATTAGGTAGTTGATGGCCCTCTGGAATGTGGCCGGAGCATTAGAAAAGCCAAACGCCATAACCAAATATTGAAAAAGACCAAATGGAGTTATAAATGCCGAGATTATTTTTGCCCTATCCGTGAGTCCCACTTGATAATATCCTTTCAACAGGTCCACGGTACTGATAGATTTTGCACAGCCTATGCTGTCTATTATATCTTCAATCAAAGGTAAAGGGTAGGAGTCTGAGACAGTGACCTGGTTCACTTTACGATAATCGGTACAGAAACGAAAAGTGCCATCGGGTTTTGGAATGAGAAGGCAAGGTGAAGCCCAGGGGGAGGTACTAGGCTCAGCTAAGTTATGTTTTAACAAAAAGTCTACCTCCTTTTTCATAATCTCTCTTTTTTGTGGATTTAGTCGATAGGCTGATTGCCTAATGGGTTGTACATCATCTGATATTAGCTTAATATCATGTTTAAGTATATTGCAAAACCCTGGGATGTCTGACGTGACTTTAGGAAATGTTGATAATAACTAAATGAGATCTTTTGCTTGAGATGGATTCAGAACAGAAAAATAATCATCCAAGTTGTTGAGTATGTGACTGTTAGCAGGGTTTTCTTTAGGTAGAGGGAAGTCTAAAATCTCCAATAGGTCCATGTCATCTGTCTCCGGCTCCGGCTCTGACAAAACCGTATGCAAAACAGGTAGGCTTATAGCCTCTGGGATGTCTTCCTCTGACTGCCTGGAATGGTAAAGTTTCATAAGATTAATGTGAACAAGTTGTGAATCTTTCCTGCGATCAGGAGTATGGACTATATAGTTGAGGGGAGATAGTTTATTAGCATTGATTTGAAAGTTTTGATGGAACCGTTCCAAGCAACCTTGGGATTGTGGCTGGTAAGCCGAAGATGTACAATGGTCCACACTGAGGTCTTTCATCACCTGTTTGAAAAGATTGCTCGTAAAATTGGTGCCCTGATCGGATTGGATCTCTTTAGGAATGCCCACTGAAGTGAAAAGGTGCAAAAGATGTTTGATTACGTTTTTTGAAGTGATGCTTTTAAGGGGAAAAGCCTCAGGATAACGTGTACTGGTATCCATAACTGTGAGCAGGAATTGATTTCCCTTCTTAGTCTTTGGTAATGGGCCCACACAATCCACAACAATCTTTTCAAATGGTGTAGAAAATACTGGGATGGGCTTAATGGGAGCTGCTGGTATACTTTCATTTGGTTTTCCTACCATTTGACAAATATGACAAGATTTTAGGTACTTTGACACATCCTTCCTAAGTCCAGGCCAATAATAGTGTTGGAGGAGCTTTTTATATGATTTCAGGATTCCCAAATGTCCTGAAATACCATCATGGGCAAGGGCAATTAATGCTGGTCTGACTGAGGCGGGAATTACCACTTGATGTATTTCAGACCACGTGTCTAGATGGGCAAGCTCAGGGGGCCTATAGGCCCTCATCAAAACCCCTTCCTGATAATAAAAACACGGAAGGGTGTTAAAATCTTTACCCTCAACTGCTGCATGATGAAGTTTATTCAAAGATGGATCAGATTGTTGGGCTTTAATGAGCTCATCCTTACTAATGGTCTTATTGTACAGATCTTCTGTGGGTAGGAAGATATTGGAGGTGGTTTTAGATGAAGAGGGCCCATTTCGCACACTCTGTGACCGGGTGACAGCACAAGATGGGAAAAGATGAGGAATAGTGTCTTTAAGGTCAGTGGTGGAGTTGACAGGTAAGGTAGAGTCGACTGTCTTTATGTTAGGAACCACTAGATCTCCTACCAAGTCATTACCCAATAATAAATGAATGCCGCACACAGGCATTGGGTCTTTCCTAATGGCTATTTGCACTTCCCCAGTAATCAAGGGACATTGGAGGTGCACTTTAGCTAAAGGATAGGAAGAATGGGATGAGAGATCTGAAATTAGAACACTCTCATTAGTAAATGCGGTAGATATATCAGGAATGACGTTAAACAGGAGGATAGATTGTGCTGCGCCCGTATCACGTAGTATACGAATAGGGAAAGAACGAGACCCCTCTATGATTGAAATTTTTCCCTCATAGGTGAATGAAGAGAAGAGATCCTGATGGGGCCTTTCCACATTGGTGGTTGCTATTGGTTTGAATTTGGGATCCAGGGAACTACTTTTAGAAGTTCGACACTTTGGGTGTTTACAAGACTGGATCGTATGGCCTGGTTTTTTACAGTAAGAACAATAAAACTTGGTTGCATCAGGGGGGGTAGGTGTGGGACCTTTCGACCTACCACTCACGTCCCCAAGGTTATCATCAGAGGAGGACCTAACATGCCGGAAAGTACCACGTTCCCTACGGCACAGTGACTCCACCAGCAAGGCGTACG